AAAAGAAACTGAGGAATAGAGAGACTAAGAAGTTTAGACCAAGGTCACTCAGCAACAAATAGCAGAACTGGGATTCAAACCAGGTTTCTGTGATGTCAGAGCCTGAGTTATTAATCATTTTGTTTGATATTTGGGAAGAAGTTTTAATGAGATGTGTAACTGCTAACGGTATAATGCTATGAAAGAAGTAGATATAAAGATATAACTCCAGCATGATCTTAACTATGTGAAAACGTATAGAGAAAAAGATCCAGAAAGAAAGATATCATATATAAAGCAGAGTTTCTGAGTGCTCTTAAAGTATATTTTAAAACCCTCTTATTGTAGAAAATTGTGAAATACACAAAGCAGACAGAAACTATAGCAAACCTCCATGTACCCATCACCCCAGCCTCAAGGACCATCAAACCATGGACTAGTCCTGTCCCATCTGCATTCTCCCTTCCATGTTATTTTGAATCAATTCACAGATGTGATGGTCAGTTTTATGTTTCACCTTGGCTAGACTACAGTCCTCCATTATTCATTAATCTAATGTGATTAAAACCATAATCAGTCATTTTTAAGTAAGGGAGATTATCCTACGTAATCTAGGTGAGGCTGCCCTGTGAGTTTCATACTTGTCTCACTAGCCCCAACAATCACATAATCCAATTTCTTTCAAAAACAATTTCTTATGAAATTGAAATTATACGTATCAATGTATCTCCTATTGGTTCTATTTCTCGGATTAAATCCTGACTGCTGTACTGCACATACATCATTTCATCTGAAATAGTTTAGCAAGTTTCTAAACAGTAAGGATTCTTGAAAAAAATCCACAATACCATTATCTTACATAAACAAAACTTAACAGCAATTCATTGATAATATCAAATGTTTAAATTTCGAATTGTCTCATTATTTTATAAAATTAAAAAAAACCTTTTTTTTGGCCACACCACATGGCATGTAGGATCTTAGTTCCCTGGACAGAAATCGAACCTGTGCTCCCTGCAGTGGAAGCACAGAGTCTTAACCACTGGACCACCAGGGAAATCCCTGAAAATGTTTTTGAACTATGAGTTTTTTTCAGCATTTTAGTTATGGAGAAAAAAAAAGTGCACAACCAGGAAGGATTTTCTCCATGGCTCCAGCAGGGGGTGGCAGTGTCTCGTGTTTCAAGAGGAAAGTAACTTGTATCATTTCTCTCCCAGCCTTAGTCTCCCAGCCCAGGGCTTACTTAGCACATGATACACTTTTGGTAAATGTATGATGAGTGAATAAATAAATGGGTGAAGGAAATACTTTTTTATACTTTTATTCATTGGCTATACTCTGTGCCAGGTACTAGCTGAATGCTAAATTTTCTCTTTTAAAAACATTTACCATGAGGTACCTATTATCCCCATTATACATGAAGAAATCTAAGGGTCAAAGAGATTGAAAGACTTTGTGAAGATCATAGAGGTAGCAAGTAGCAAATCCTTGAGTTACCCCAGATCTATATTTTATTTGTAAATGCCATATAGGACATACAGAAAGCATATGAATGGTTGAAAAAAGAGAACACCTGTAACTATACCCAGTTATAGAACATCACTGTCACCCCAGAAGTCTTGTTGTTATGGACTGAATGCTTGTGTGCCGCCAATATTCATATGCTGAAGGCATACCCCTAATGTGGTAGTGTTTGGGTATGGGGCCTTTGGGAGGTAATTAGGGTTAGATGAGGTTATGAGGGGGGTCCACTGATGATGACGGGATTGGTTCGCTTATAAAAAGAGAGCGCTCACTCTCCCTTTCTGCATAAGCAAAGAGGGAAGGTCAGCGAGAAGGTAGCTGTATACAAACCAGAGAGCTCTCACCAGTACCTGAATTGGCCAGCACCTTGATCCTGGACTTCCCAGTTTCCAGCACAGTGAGAAAATAAATTTCCGTTGTTTAAGCAACCAAGTTTATGGTAGTTTATTATGGCAGCCCTAGCCAACTATGACATCTGTTTATCTCTTTCCAAACACAACCCCTATCTTCCTCCAAATTTAAGAGTAATAATTTCCTTGCCTTTCCTTAGAGTTTACCTTCTTTGTTTAGTTTTACCTGTTTTTGAACTTTATGTAAATGGAATTATTCTATCTATCTACCTACCTACTTTATGACTTGCTTTTTAACCTCAACATTATGTTTGTAAGATCCATCCACGTTGAGCATATATTTGTAGTTCTTTCGTTTTTATGCTGTATGGTATTTTCTAGTACAAATATATTACTATTTATTCTTCCATTTTATGGAATGGGCATCTTGGTTGCTGGTAAGAACATTCTTAGGCATGTATCCTAATGTACATTAGAACACACATCTCAAAGGTATATATACCTTGGCCTGGAATTTCTGGGCTATCTGGTATGCATATCTTCAACATTATTAGACAATAGCACAGGTTCCCAGAGTGGTTGCACTAACTTACATTCCCACCTGCTGTAAGAGAGTTCCATTTTTCTATACTTTCACTAACACTTGGTATTGTCAGGCTTTTATATTTTGCCAGACTAATGGGTATATTGTGCTATCTTGTTATAGTTTTAATTTGCATTACCCTTATCTATTTAATGAGATTGAGCACCTTTTTATATTTATTGGACATTTAGATTTCTTCTTTTGTAAAATGTCTTTTCAAGCCTTTTGCCCACTGAGAAAAACTGGATCATCTGCCTTCTTCTCACTGATTTATAGTTCTTCATACAATCTGGTCCTTTATCCATTATATATGTTGTAAATACCTTCTTCCACTCTATGGCTTGTCCTTTTACTCTTTGAATGGTGTATTTTGATGAACAGAAGTTCTTAATCTAATGTAATCAACCATACCCAGTATTCTCTTATGGTTAATGCTTTTTATATAGTGTTTGAGAAACCCTTCCCTTATTCAAGATCTTAAATTTTTTTCCTCCATTCTATCCTAAAACCTTTGTAGGTTTATCTTTCACACTTATGTCTTTCGCACTTACTACCTGGGAATGATTTTTGAAAATGTAAGAGGAAGGGGTTGAATTTCCTTTTTTCTTCATATGGAAATCCAATTGTCCCACATTTTTCACTACTGCTGTGATGTGACATCTCTGTCATAATCATGCAATTGTATGTGAATGGGTATGTTGGACTACAAAATTCTAAAGTCGAACTCCTAAGTGCCACGATACTGCCTTTGTCTGTGAAAGGAAATATGATGGACATAATGCATTTTAGACTTAACTAGAATCTCAACTCACAATCTCCATCTCCAAAAATGCTTCCAGCTGGTGATGCTGGCATGTTATTTTACCTCTGAGCCCATGTTTTTCTTGCATGGTAATTGTAAGGAATAGGCACAATTTGTGACACCTAATCATTTTATCATTACTACATATTTCAAATGTAAGCACTTGCTCTGTTTGGAGCCTTGGGGCTTGGAGTTCTGTAGTTTTATTAATTTTCTATGGCTGTGTTACAAGTGGCCACAAACTTAGTGGCCTACAACAGCACCCATTTCTGACCTTGAAACTCTGAAGTTCAGAAGTATGGGTAGGTTCTCTGCTTAGGGACTCACAGGCTGAAATGAACATGTCAACTGGGTCAATCTCTTATTTGGAGGCTCTGGGGAGACCTGCTTCCAAGTTCATTTAGGTTGTTGACTGAACCCTGTTCTTTGCAGTTGTAGGACAGAGGTCCCTCTTCCTTGCTGGATGTCAGCCAGGGGTTGCTCTTAGTTCCTAGGGGCTGCTCTCAGGCCCTTTCTACCTAGCTTTCTCCATCTTCAAGTTAGCAATAGTCAAATCCTCCTCATGCTTTGAATATGACTTCCTTTTCTGGAGAAAATACTCTGCCTTTAACGAGCTCATGTGATACGATTAGGCCTACCTGGATAATCTCTGCATTTTAAGGTCAGCTGATTAATATCTGCACATCCCTTGTGCCATGTAATGATGTAATCTCAGGAGTAACACCAGAGGGTGTTACTTAGACTTTTGCCTACCACAGTAGTGCCAGATACATTACTTAGCCTGCAGATCTCGAGATGGTCTGTCTGAAAAGAATTCTTTGGTGTATGTCAGAAAACTCAAAATACTTCATCAGTTCATTCCAAATTCCCAAATTGGCTAGAAATGTTGACTACAACTCGTCTTCATGGAGCTTTGACCCTCTTTCCTGCACAGACATATCTTTTTATTTGCAAACTCTTGGTGACTTGGATGCTATTTTATCTGATATCTCTAGAGCTTACTGCCCACCCCTCAGTCATTTATGGAACCATCAATCAACAAATATGTTGAGTATATAATACAGTCATAGCACTTATCCAAATCTGAGATCACACTTGGCAAGGTGTCAGGCCCATAGTAGGTATTTCTTAAATATCTGTTGAATGAATGTGTGAGTGATGAATTGCCCTTATGTAGCCTACTGTGTATTTTAGAATAAGCTATATGCACACACAAAGATAAACAATATAAGAATTTATGTAGTTTTTTAAAAGTAGTCCAAGAGATAGATCATTGTGTGTGTGTGTGTGTGTGTGTGTGTGTGCGTGCACATTTGTGTGCAAGGAATGCTTTGTGGAAGAAGTAGAGCTAGGATTGGGCCTTTAGAAATATGATTATTTGGATGGGTGGGAGGATGACCCACAGTCTAGGTAGGAAGAACTGTGTGAACAAAGGTGCACTTTGGGATGGGAGCAGCCATTTTGGGTGGGAATCAAGATATGAGTGGCAGGTTGTAGCCTCACAGAAGCTTTGCAATGTCAAAAAAAGTAAAGAAATGTTTGACTCAGTTATTTCAAGGAAACAAAGATTTATTAAAGTGAAGCACTTTGAACTCTCTGGAATAAAGGTGATATTAATGCATGACTTTCTTAATGCACAAGGAACGTTTCCTTAAGAAATTTTTTTTAGTTTTTAAAGCTTCCTTTCATAAATGCCACCTTGGGTCCTTAGGAGAAAGAGTACCATATGCAAGGTAACAAACACACACACTGCAAGTCACAATAAAATAAGAGTCATTTATTCTGTATTCAGCGAACAAACTATAATCTGAAAGAATGTTTATTTTTAATTTGTAGCCATTGGACTTGCTAGAGTTCTTTCCCATCCCACTTTGGAGTTAAATGTCCCCGCAGCTTCCTTTTCTTTTCCCAAAGTCAAGAACTGTGGCTACTATGCAGAGGCCTACCATCTAGGAAAGTACTGATAATTGGTAAGCAAATCATAGAAGAGGATGTCTTGTGACAACATCAGGTGCACCTGTCGGAATGGTGGGTGAAATGCATATGGTGCTAACGATGGAAAGCCAACCATAAGCAAAAGCCTAGCAAAGGCAGAATGACCTGGAACATGATAGCCTTGCTAGGAATAAACGTTTTACAGGGGGACACAGCAATGGGAAGGGGAGGCAAGGAGGATGATACACACAAAGGTGGCGATCTAACAAGCAGAGCCCTGAGTGGGAATCCCACTTCAGGAATGACTTGTCGTTTTCTGGTAGACATTGTGCGTGTCTCTGTCCTTCAGATTCTGCCTACATGACAGAAGCTTGGCTGGGGCCACTGTCCTTGGGGTAAAGGAGGCTTTTCCCCCAGATACAATGTTCTCCCAGTCTGAGGGAGCTCAATGTTTTGGGGGTTGTTAAGGAAAGTCTTAGTTAAGGACCAATGAGAGGAAGCCATAAAATGAGATATCTGACGGGGCCAGATGCTTACTAGACACCTGCCAGCTTCCAAACCCGCTGGGAGAAATACAGCATTTTTGAAGGAGGGAAAATGCAAACTGAGCCCTGAGGTCAATTCTTCAACGTTAAACTGGCATATTCTTCAACATTAAACTGTCATATTCTCAACTTACTCTTCCTCTGGGGCACTTGGATGAAAGAGCCTGACCTTGATGGCCTGTCTCTCCTCTGTTCCCCAATAGGCCAGCTAGTGGGTGGTGGGGTCTCTGGAGGAGCAATGTACACAGAACAGTTGAGAGACTCCCCAAGAGGTGCTTTGGCATAAATCAGTATCTGAGAGGCACACAGGCATTGGACTTTAGCTGTGTTTCCTGAAGATGGACATTTTGCTTGCATTGTTTGGTGCCCCCCAGGCTGGTTATGGGCAGCCCTCAGGCTCCAGGAGCCACATTGTGAGGCTCACTCAGAGTCCACTGTGTTGTCCAAGGCATGCTGGGAGCGCCTCTGGTTCCTGGATGACACACACAGGTACACAAGGTATGTCAGACACAGCAAGGCCACTGCTGTGAAGAAGGTGAGGGTGCCCATAAAGGCAGACGGCTTGATGGGCAGGCGAATCAGGGGGCTTTCGGCTGGGATCTGGTTGGTCAGGCTGAGCATGTAGCCAAGAGACCAGGCTATGCTGCTGTTCCCCACCTGTGGAGTAGAGGAGACGGCTCAGTTCTCAGGGCTGGGCTTGAGGCACTGATTACATCCCCAGGGCACACCATGGTCACCCTCCTGAGACACCACCAGGAAACTGTGGCCTAAGGAGGTCAAAGGACTTGCCTAATTTCAGACACTGCAGAGACTGGGCTAGAACCCAGGTCACTGTGACCACAAAGGCTCGAGGGCCCAATCTCCCACACTGCAGAGGAAACAGCCAGAAGAACTAATCCTCATGGCCTCGTCACAGCCAAGCGTGAAGAGGGCACAGTTAATAACAGTGAAAGTTTCTCTGTCATCGGGTACAGAAGTGTCTATAGCTAAAGAAAGAAGGTGATGCATGTTTTACTGAACCCAGGACCAGTTTCTAAGAAAAGATGGTCAGGGGACTTCCCTGGTGGTCCAGTGATTAAGGCTCCACACTGAATGCAGGCGGCCCGGGTTCAATCCCTGGTCAGGGGACTAGATCCTGCATGCCGCAACTAAGAGCCCGCGTGCCACAACTAAAAAAAAGATCCCACGTGCCAAAACCAAAAAAAGATCCCACATGTCGCAACTAAAGATCCCACACACTGCAACTAAGATCCCGCACACAGCAATGAAGGTCCCGCGTGCCTCAATTAAGACCTGGTGCAGCCAAATAAATATCCAAAAAAAAAAAAACCATAAAAGAAAAAGAAAAGAAGGTCAGTTTAAGTGGGAAGCAGACTTCGTCAGTTTCATCTGGTAGTTCCATCAATTTTTGTTTACATGTTTTTCAGCTATTTTATTAGATGTATAAATGTTTCAAATTTGCAATCTTCTATCCTCTCTATCTCAAATGATGCTCTTTATCTTAGACTATTTTGTCAGATATTAAAAAGCTACACCAATTTTCTTTTGTGTAGTGTTTGCCTGATAGTTAAAAAAATTTTTTTTAACTTTCAAACTTTCCATGTCCTTTGAAAATGAACAAAACAGAAACAGACTCACAGACATAGAGAAGAGATTTATGGTTGCCAAGGGAGAGGGAGGTGGGGGAGGGATGGATTGGGAGTTTGGGATTAGCAGATGAAAACTATTATATATAGGATGGATGAACAACAAGGTCCTACTGTATAGCACAGGGAACTATATTCAATATCCTGTGATAAACCATAATGGAAACAAATACGAAAGAGAATATATGTATGTATAACAATCATTTTGCTGTACAGCAGAAATTAACACAACATTGTAAATCAGCTATACTTCAATAAAATATTTAAAAAACCCAAAAAATGTTCCATGTCCTTAAAGACGGTTTCTCTTATAAACAACATATACTTCATTTAAAAAAATCCAATCTGACAGTGCCTTTTAACTGGTAGGTTTAGTCCATTTATGATTATTGTGATTATTGATATATTTGGACTGCTTTCTAATACCTTAGTTTTAAATTTTCAATAAGTGCTACTTCCCTATGTTTATTTTTTTCATTTATTGCCTTAAAAATGATATAAATATGTTCCACTTTACAAGATGAGCGTTTCAGGCCACTCTTATGTCCCTGTACCCTATGACCCTCAACCATACCCCCATCACATTGGATATTAGCTATACTAGAATTCTGGATTGTTATAAATGGATTCTTCTCTTTTACTTTTCTTTGGTGTTAGTTTTCTTTTTTTGTTTTTAATATAAATTTTAAGCCACAACATCATTTATTCTTACTTCCTATATTTTTATACATCTGGATTTATTTCTTATTTGATCACTTCCTCCAAAAATATTTTGGATGTAAATCTTTGCATGGCAAATCTTCTGAAGTCTATTTATACCCTCACATTTGAATACTAATTTGACTGAGTATTAAATTCTTTATAAGTAAAGGAAAGGAACTTGAAACCTAGAATTCTGTATCCCCCCAAATTGGTATTTAATGGAAAATCATTCCCCATTCTCATAATTTACTTTCCTGGTAATTAGATTAATTAGAAACAAAGCTTGGAGAGTACATGCCACCAACAGTCCTTAAACATCTCCAGACATCCTTAATTTTTATAGATGACTCAGTTTTATCTATGTAAAAGTAAACAGTCACAGGCCTAATGCTGGATATTGCTTGCTTTAATCTAATTATTGCCGAAGCTAACATCGAACAGACTGACTCCAGACATACTTCAGGCTTTACATCTGCTCTTCCTGAAATGAGAAAACCCTCCCAGAATCTGGGGAACAGAGTGCTGGATGAAAATATCAGCAAGGCTGCGTCATGAAAGCAAGGTACAGAGGCCCCTCACCAAATAGTCACCTGTTAAGAGCTGTCATTCCAGCACTGGACCATTCTGGACACTTGAGAGTGAATACGGTGGCCTCAGACTCATTCTGAGATCAAATTCTTATTTAATGCTGCTTACTTAAACCCTATTCTCTGAAGCATAGATCTCACTCTGACATTTGTGTAAAATGGAGAGCAATTAGTTACTATTCTCTTAACAAAATTGTTACATTTGTAGCTTCTTGTCAGGATGAAAAGTCTCTGTTCCTTAACATATTTATGTATTCACTCAACAACATTTACTAAGCACCTTCCATGTTCTCAGCCCTGTGCTGAACGCTAGGAATATGAGGATGATAAAACAAGTGCTGCCGCCACGGAGCTCAGAGTCCACGGTTCTTGGCATCCAATCCTTAACTCATGTGGAAGGTTTCTGATGACCACTTCCTCTGAATTCTCCATCATCTCTTCTCATAAGCTCACCAGGGATCAAGTCTCATTGGCTCCATTTAGCAAGTTAAACCCCAAGTCCCACTTACCTTCTACATTTCGTTCACGCACATACACACAAGCATCTATTTTGAGAGAAAGAGAAGGAAACAGTTTGTGCTTTGACTTACCTCTTTTTTAAAATGTATTTGGGGCCAGGTGTTCTCGGTGAATTTGTATCCATTTACAAGCAAGTGGTAGATAAAATGGGCTGAGAAGCAGTAGGAGCGAGCGTACTCCTCATCAAACCGGGGGAGCAGCAGTGGGAGCTGAAGGCAGGTTCAAAACAGGGAGAAGGCAGGTTTTAAAACACACATTTCAGGGACTTCCCTGGTGGCGCAGTGGTTAAGAATCCGCCTGCCAATGCAGGGGTCACGGGTTCGAGCCCTGGTCCGGGAAGATTCCACATGCCATGGAGCAACTAAGCCCGTGTGCCACAACTATTGATCCTGCGCTCTATAGCCCGTGAGCCACAACTACTGAGTCCGTGCGCCACAGTTACTGAAGCCCACATGCCTAGAGCCCATGCTCCACAACAAGAGAAGCCACCGCAATGAGAAGCCTGCACACCGCAACGAAGAGTAGCCCCCGCTCGCCGCAACTAGAGAAAGCCCGCACGCAGCAATGAAGACCCAACGCAGCCAAAAAAAAAAAAAAAAAACCATTTCAGAACAGCTTAGGTCAGCTGTCATATTTTAAAGAATCTTATCACCCAGAATTTAATAATTAAAATTACTATAAAATAATACAATGATAAAAATATCCCTGTTTTATGTTCATTTGTTTTATTTATTTTTTATGTTATTCCACATATACGTGATAACGTACAGTATTTGTCTTCCTCCGTCTGACTTATTTCACTAAGCATAATACCCTCCAGGTCCACTCATGTTGTTGCAAATGGCAAAATTTCATTATTCTTTATGGCTGAGTGATATTCCATTGTACATATACACCATATCTCCTATGTTCCCCCCCCCACCAAATCCCTATACAACATCACAGAAGAACAATCTAAGTTTATAGAGTGCTTATGACATGCCAAACACTGTTATAACCATTGTGCCCATGGTTAGAACATTAATCCACAACGCAGCTATGAGCTGGGGTCCCTTACTATCCCCATCTTATGGATATGGTGAAAGGAGGACAGCATAAAAGTCAAATTCAGAATATACACACACATGCACACAAAGGGAATCTACTCTGCTGTACTGTTTCGTACCAGTATGGATCCTTTCTCTTTAAATACTGACCTTACCCCAATTCTGTGAGCAGAAATTCCAGGTGCTTGAGTTGAAGGTGTGCAGGGAAAAGCTACCCGAAAGGTTGAAAGCACTGGCTGTGTAGTAGAATCCTGCAAAAGCCTGTAAGGAAGTCGTGCAGAAGGAAATAAGTTCTCAGAATGGGATATAATATGGAGGCTTCAGAATGGGATATAATATGGAGGTTTCAGGGTACTGAATAAGAAAGTGGGAAACAGCTCAGCAGAGGAAAAACAGAAAGGTGAGAAAGAAATATTCAATGGGGAAAAAAAGGAATCTTTCCATAGTTTTGCCCTTACCAGAAATGACCCTTTAACTTTTGGCTGATATACGCCATTGAAGGAACAGACTTCTCGGTCATGGCAAGCACTGAAGTTAAATAGGGAAGCCACCTTTTCCCTACACAGTGATGGGTCCCCGGTTCCTTCAAAAGTGATGATGTTGTTGGGATCATAACTTTCAGGTCTCAGGTCCTCTGTACACAGGCTGCCAAACACATGTGCCTCAGTGAAGGTGGTGTTGTAATTCCGAGGGTAACAGGGGTTGGCAAATGTGGTTTCAGTGGTATAATTCTGTAGGTACAAGAGTGAGGTGTTAGACATCACTGTTTTGTGGAGGCCCAAGTACAAATCCTCAGTGCAAATCCTTACTGTTGTCCCCCACCAATGCCGAGAGAGAAACGGAAAAAAGGTCATTCTGCGTCAATGTAGAAGGGAACTCCCAGGTTGTCTAGATAACTCAAGTCAGGGTGGGGGGATGATCACCCTGCACCAGGCACAACACTAGGCTCTTGCTTACACTGTCTGCTCCAGCCCTTACCACAGCCCTGTGAAGCAGGTTTTATGAACTCCATTTTGATGAGAAAACAAGATATGTTTAGATTCACTGACCATTTTGAAGAGAATGTTATCTATCCACCTAAAAAAATAATTCAAAAGGTACAAATAAATATATTATGAAAATTAAGGCTCCCTCCCATCCACTTTCCCCACCCTTATTCCCTCCCTGGAAGTAACCACTATTGCCAGTTTTGTGTATTCTACCAGAGATTCTGTGTATACTTCTTGTATGCATGTGCAAATATATTTTCTTTTCTCCTCTCTTTCTTTTTAAAATTTAAAAATTAAAAAAAATTTTTTGTTTTTAATAGAGTTATTTATTTATTTTTCGCTGCATTGGGTCTTCATTGCTGCGTGCGGGCTTTCTCTAGTTGTGGCGAATGGGGGCTACTCTTCGTTGTGGTGCGTGGGCTTCTCATTGCGGTGACTTCACTCTTGTTGCTGAGCACGGGCTCTAGGCACGCGGGCTTCAGTAGTTGTGGCACGAGGGCTCAGTAGTTGTGGCTCGCGGGCTCTAGAGCTCAGGCTCAGTAGTTGTGCCTCATGGGCTTAGTTGTTCTGTGGCATGTGGAATCTTCCCGGACCAGGGCTCGAACCCATGTCCCCTGTATTGGCAGGCGGATTCTTATCCACTGCACCACCAGGGAAGTCCCTAAAATTTTTAAATCATAAATGGCAGTACTGTATACACACTGTTCTGCCCCTTGCTTTTCTTACTTAAAAATATATCTTTGAGATTTTCCTTTCATTGTAAGTGTAAGAGTGGGTTTTTAGTAGCTGCATAGCACTCTACTGTACAAATAAACTATAATTTATTTAGGGAGTCCCCTCTAGAGGAAAACTTAGGTAGTTTCCAATCATTTGCCTTTACAAAACAATGCTGTAATAAATATCGCATTACATAGAAATCTTCGATCCATTTGTAATTAATTTGGTATTAAGATTGGGATTTGATTTTACTTTTTCCAGATGATTATCCAATTTTTATCTATGGTCAAAAATGTTCCCTTTATCAAACGCTGAATTCCAAAATGTGTTTGGTTCTATTTATGGACTCTCTTTTCCAAGAAATTGGATTCAAACTCTAATTTCAAAGCTACTAAGGCATATTTTACCCCTACAGTAAAATCTTGACCCAGAAAACACTTAGCCCAACTCTTTCATTTTACTGCTGAGGAAACTGAGGTACATATCAAAATAATGTAATCATTTAACAAAAGGCAGTGGTAGGATTCTACACAGAATCCTACAGAAGTCCAACACTCATCCAGTATAGCTAACATGAGTGTTCTGCAGAAAGATCTTCATATGACTCTGTGGAGGCAGCAAACAGGCCCCCTTCTGCCTTAATGGTGTGAAAAAATCTATGGTGTTCAAAAGGTCTTATGTCTAATTTGTAACGTATCATGCCATGGTCACCCTATGGCTGAAATATTCGTTAAAAGAAAAAAATCAAATCAACCAAATGATTATTTAGTTTCTCCCTCCAAATCTGCCTTATACTTTTTAAATAATTAAATCATTTCTGGCTTGGCTTGGAGAAGAAGCAAGATAATATAAATTATTTCTGGCAGAAGAAGCTCAGTAAAGATTATTTCACTTCTCTTTTTGGAGTGTGAATTATTTGTTATGGCATTCCTTAAATATAATTTGCCAGTGTGCCAAGTTGCTTAGGCCCTCAACATTCAATAAATCTTCCCTGAATTTAGTGTTTTCAGGGCACTGGCATGAAAGGGTCATGTACTTTCTTTTATAATAAAATGACCAATATAGTTTTCCTTTTTAAATAATGGTATTTGGAATATTATGCACCTATAAAAGTATTAATTTCAAAAGATGTTTAACAACACAGGAAACTGCTCACAATATATTGTTAGGTTAAAAAAAAGCTGGATATAAAATTATATGTAAACCATATGAAGCCAAATTTGTAAATACTATACATATTCCTGCATGAAAAAGAAAACTGGAAGAAAATGCAATACTGTGTTGATGGTGGCTAATTCCAGGTTTTGTTTGTTTATTATTTATATTTTTTATGTCTGTATTTTCTAATTTTTTTTTCACTGAACATGTGTTACTTTAAAAACAGAAGAGGACTTCCCTGGTGGCGCAGTGGTTAAGAATCCACCTGCTAGGGTTCCCTGGTGACGCAGTAGTTGAGAGTTCGCCTGCCGATGCAGGGGACGCGGGTTTGTGTCCCGGTCCGGGACGATCCACATGCCGCAGAGCGGCTGGGCCCGTGAGCCATGGCCGCTGAGCCTGCGTGTCCGGAGCCTGTGCTCCGCAGCGGGAGAGGCCACAGCAGTGAGGGGCCCGCGTACCGCAAAAAAAAAAAGAATCCACCTGCCAATGCAGGGGACACGGGTTCAAGCCCTGGTCCGGGAAGATCCCACATGCCGCAGAGCAACTAAGCCCATGAGGCACAAGTACTGAGTCTGAGCTCTAGAGCCCGCGAGCCACAACTACTGAGCCCTCGTGCCACAACTACTGAAGCCCGTGTGCCTAGAGCCCATGCTCCACAACAAAGAGAGGCCACTTCAGTGAGAAGCCCACGCACCATAACGAAGAGTTGCCCCCGCTCGCCACAGCTAGAGAAATCCAGCATGCAGCAATGAAGACTCAACACAGCCAAAAATAAATAAATACTTAAGTATTACTTTAAGTGTTACTTTAAGTAATACTTAAGTCTTATTTAAAGAGGAAGAGAAAGTGAATTCATGTCCCTAACGTCTAACATGCTCTCAGAGTGAGACTTGAGCCCTGGGGTGACTGGAGACTCCTTTTTAAGAAAATAATTTGCAAAGTATATATCTAGGTGTCACTCTCACCACACTCTGTAGCCCCTTATATTACAGACCGGGAAACGAGTCCTGGACTGGTGGCATTTACTCAGCCAGTTCATGATGCAGTAATCTTTGGGAACCTTCTAAGCTGGGGCTTGGCAACACATCTTTGGGACATGAAAGTATTGGTCAGGCAAATCGGGACATGCATTTGTGGGTGATCCTCATCACACCTGGATTCTTCCCCTCACCTGAGTCAGAAGGCTTACAGTGCAGAGCTACACTCTCAGGCATCCAGATGTTATCAGGCAAGTTGTAGACACACCCTGTCCCTGTGACCTGACTATCTGTAGTGAGGGGCTGGGGTCTCCCACCTCTGCCCCCAGTCCTGGGCTCACACCTTGAGACCTGCATTCTCAAACCCAAATGAGACCTCATCCAGGTGGAGTATTCACTTCTCTACTGTAGACTGTTGGGTACATAGACATTCTTTAATAAACATTGTAGGAGTGTGTGCATAAAGACACACACACACACACTCTTCCTCAGTGTCAGTCAAATTTAAGAGGTTAGCTTCTCAAACCTCCACTCATTCTGGAAAAAGGGTGATTTCACCTGCTTCCCTTTTCCTGTCTAAATTTCGGAGGAGCCCCTGCTCCACCCTCCACCCCCACCAGGGCCAGAGCTGGAGGAAGGGACAATAAGTATTGTTAAAAATAAAAGGAGAGAGAGAAAAGAGGAGCCCCAGTTAACGAGGGTTGGTTAAGCTCCATGTGGGGTTTGGTTTGGCTGAGTGTAGGGTGGATATGAGGGTCTGGAGTGGGCACTGAGTCTTCTGAGCCATGGAAGTGTAGCTCAGGGCTGCCTGCAGGGTCCCCGCTCTGTCCTTCCCAGGAGTGCTCAGGCTCTCCCAACAATACATGTGGCATGCATGTGTAGTGGGGCTCCAGCCTTTCCTGTGAGGCTGAAAGAGAAGTTTTGGGAAGAGGGCCAGACCTGGAGGGTGAATTCTCACCACCTACCTTGCATGGCTACTCAGTAAATATGGGGATCTGAAGATGTGACTTCTGCTGATGACACTTTTGTAAACCAGCCCAATTTTCTACAGGCTAATGGCTGGGGAATACTGCTTCCTTCTTCAATGACCAAAGTAGGTTGCAGTGGTGGGGCTTAAGCTACTGATGCTGTGTCCACTATGTTCATAGGCTGACCCAGCTCTTGTCTCCTTCCCCTGGGCCCCATCAGAAGCCAGGATCTGTGGCCTCCGGTTGGCCCCATGCCCCTCTAGGTGATCAAGCCTCCTTCCCTTCGTGTTCCCTTCATCTTCATCTTCCCTTCTCAGCCATGGCTGAGATTGATGTCCCCTTAGCACTGGAGTTTGGGATCTCAGGTCGCATCCATGGTGCTAGTGCCCTTGCTGACACATACAGTACTAATGTCAAGTTCATATTAGTGATAGCTTTCTAGTTGATGCCTGAAGTAGCCATCTGTGCCATGGAACATTTACCATATGAATTAGTGACTGATGTGATGGAATTCGGCTGTTCTAAGACCCCAACATATAAAGGGCATGAAATCTGCCTAATATAGGCTCATGTAAAAGAAGCCTGAGCCTGGGGAGGGCTCTGCCCTCTCCCCTGTCAGCAAGCATTTCCCATATGATCACTTTTATTATTTTGTCTGCACTCAGGGGAGTCTCAACATTCTCAGGTTTATTTAGCTACTGGTTTAAAACAGCTTGTGTCCATAAAGGGATCCCAAGTCCTGAATCATTTATAAAACACCTGGAGCTCTGGAATTTCCCTGGACTTCTGACTCAGATACACTGGAAATGATCAACACGAGAGAGAGAGAGAGAGAGAGAGAGAGAGAGAGAGAGCGAGCGAGAGCGCTTGGACGCCCACAAGTAAACAGGAAAATGCTGCTGTTTCCATCCATCTTCTAATTGGAGTGGAAAGGACAGACCCCAGAAGGCAAGGCATCTTCCTCTCAGCTAAGACCCCCGAGGGAATACCCATTGCCCCCTGGCTCAGGTACCTGAAGAAGAATTGCCAGAAACCTCCTCTCAGCCTCATTCCGGCCATAACACTGGAAGCTATGCGTGTAGAGTGTGTACTCATAGCCATACAGGGACACCTTCACGATGTCACTGGTGTTCAGCCCCACGTTCTCTTCTACCGCGAAGGATATTTGGGTGGAGGCACCGCCTAAATCCAGGGCACCTGTGGTCTCCTTTCCGTTCGGATGCACCCACATATGCCACAGGCTCTTCTACACAGTAGGAAAAGGAAACAAGAAAAAAGACCAAAGGTACCATCTCTGATTGGCTAGGGTTCTTCACCCAAGACCCATCTCTTATTGCTAAGAAATATGACATAGGAAGCATTCAGGGCCAGATCTCTCCTTTATTTCAGGGGTGGAACTCAAATGCTTACAGGGACTGTACAGGCAACATAAATGAGTGAGTAGACAATAGGGAATGAGGTGTAGACAGTAGGGAATGGTGGGGCCTGGGGCAAACTGGGGAATGCATGAGCTATACTCTGTTCCAGTTGGTTGTTGCCATGCAGGAATGTGAGTCTGCTGTGACCAGCTCCTCCAACTTTTGGGGAGTGAGGGGGGCAGGAGAAGCTAGAAATGTGGATTTTTATGTGAATTTTCCAAAATATTAACTAATTTAATTTAATTTAATTAAAAATGTATTCAAGGGGGAAGAAAATAGGTCTTAGGCTGAACATAATATGGTGTCCTCTGCACCAAAGGAGCAGGGAGTATGGAGACTGGAATGTGAGGAGACCTGAGGACACAGAATGAGTTGGGAAGAAAGCTGCCTGAGGGCTCTGTAAATTCCAGATGGCTGTGGGGCTTCTTGGAAGGGTCATTTTCCAGGTGTCCTTCAAAAGACTCATAGCCCACTGCTAGATTTAGATCCTTCCCTGCCTCTAATTTCTTATTAGCTAGTAAAATGATGATATTCCCCTTCCCCCATGCATTTGGTCCTGTTTAGGATCCACGGCTTTGTCCTAGCTATACATGTCTTTTCTTAGCTGTTGTATCATAGATGTTTCCCTAATTCATTACATGATAGAAGCAATGCAGGACAGGTGGCCCTGTTGGTATGTACCTCTGCTTAAGTTACCAACCACAGGGGACAGGATAAACAGCAAGATTAAAAACCATGCATTTGTTTTCACACACCTCCAGGAAATTTCCCATTAAATAGTTGGCTGTAATCCATCCATAAATCCCTTCCTCTTGCCCAGAAATGATTTGAGCATCCCTAAAATCAAAGGGCTGAGACTCGAAGTAGTTTTGGATGCTCGCAAGGACTTCATTAGCTGCTGTTTCGTTTTGCAACCTATGCAAGGCACAGAACACAAAAGGCTGAGTGCCCAGACAACGATCTTAAAATAACCCCTCCACCCCCTTCAGGCAGGGACAGTTTTCCAGATGTATATAAGACATGGCAACCCCCTGTACAAGTTGAAGCCTCCCAGGCAAGGCAGGATGCACTTGTTACCTGTCAAACTGCCAAGCAGGAAAACAGCTACCAGTAAAAATACCACTTGTTCTCTCCTCCCCTACCTGTTCCTATCTCTCTCTCTAGCAACCAGCTAATGAAAAGAGCCTCCTACTCAGTCACCATTGCTCTGTCTCAGATCAGCAGAGGAAAGGAGATTGGTGAAGGCATAGGAGTGGCATAAGTAATCTCTTGGGGCACCATATAAAGAAGCCCTCATCAGGCCAGAAGGAAGGGGAGCTTAGGAGGGAGGGGGAAAGGAAGAGGGATGAGTTTTCAGCTGTCCCAGCTTTGCTCTTTGGGAGGGCTTCATCATGAGGGGATATGATGGCCATCATGGCTGTCATTGAATTGAAATTCATCAGTGTGCTGACCCATGGAGGAGTGGTAGCATAGTGTTCATATCACCCATGATGTAGAGTAATAATATCATTCATCTGCTGCCATTTTATGAAAGAAATCTCACTTGGGAGACTCTTTTCCCTTTCATCAGTGGGTTAAGAAAGCCAGGGGCACTGGCTCACTCTTGGCTGAAGAAGAAGAAAGAGAAATGCTACAAGCAGAAGTCCATTCCAGTTCAGTAGCAAATTATCACCGCTTGGAAAATAATTAAGAATTTTCCTAGTTTTATTAATTCCCATCCCAGAGATTCTCAAATTATTGTTTTTTTAATATTTGACTTTTCTAGCAATTAAAATATCAACTAGTTCCTCAGAAGAAATGGATCACCATCAGAAAGTTTCACAAGGAGGCATTAATATTTAATTTATTCAAATGCGACATTCACTTTTTCCCCAACTGGCAAACTTTTGTATTCCATGGTTTTTGTCATGGGCTATAAATTACAGAGCCTTTGAATGATTTCTCGCGGAGAGGACTGGGAGAAAAAAGCAACCAAGAAAGTTGGGTTCTTTGTTTCCATAAGAAAGAAAAGGCAGAAGAAGGGAATTTCTATGACATTTCTATTTCAGGTAAACGCAATAATTTTGAAAACACACTGCAGATTCCAAGAGTAAGCAAAGAAATCTGACTTCTTTCCGCATTCTACTTGGTCAACCAGGACACAGGAATAGAAAAAAGGAGAGGAAAACTACAAGGAAAGGGCTCAGTCCAATTGAGAGTGCTTCATGATTTTTTTCGATGATCATCTTAAAGTGACTCTGTTGTTCCTTTGTATTTTGTTCATGCCCACATGAAGAAAATCCATGTAATTTTACATTCCTGGGATCACAGACAAAGTGGCTTTGAAGCAGAATGAGTGTCATCTTTTGGGGAGAAAGCCTTATTTTCAAAGTTTAGGGCAGCATCTACCCTTTAATTTAGGTAGATTTAAGTTTGATGGTTTTTTTAAAAAAACTATTTTTCTTTTAATTCAAGGTCAAGGAAGTATTATCATGGAGAAAAAAAAATGAAGAGAAAGGACATTCAAAAACAATGCAACTGGGCTAAAAGTCATGGCTACAAATTTAGAAGGAACTGCTTAATTGAATGAAATGAGATGTTTGTTTTTATGTAATGCCAAAGGCTTTGGGGTGAGGAGCAGAAATCCCATTATTTGAAAGCAGATCTCAGTGACATTTTGTACATGGGTAGAAGCTACACAGCTTAGTAGTATAGTGGAGTCGGTTGTCCACAGGTGTTAAAATACCAGGAGTCAGGGCTTCCCTGGTGGCGCAGTGGTTGGGAGTCCGCCTGCCGATGCAAGGGACGCGGGTTCGTGCCCGGTCCAGGAGGATCTCACGTGCCGTGGAGCGGCTGGGCCCGTGAGCCATAGCCGCTGGGCCTGCGCATCCGGAGCCTGTGCTCCGCAACGGGAGAGGCTACAGCAGTGAGAGGCCCGCGTACCTCAAAAAAAATACCAGGAGTCAAAAACAGTTTCTACTTTTCTAGAAAACTAGAGGTACATCCCATGATTAGATTTCATGTCACTTTCCTTTACTTTCCGAGCTCTCAGTAAAATCACCATGGGGAAGGGAATCAAATATAGAACTGTTTCTTTCTGAGTATTAAGATAAAGACTAAAAGTTTCCCAACTTTTAAAGCCTAAATTTATGGCAGAATATGGGCTTCTTTCTTTTGGATTTATTCCCAGAAATAGAGTTACATTCTTGGAAAGAATTCAACACATTCCTGGTTATTTTGGTCCAAAGGGCTCCTCTGTGCCATTCTAGCCCTTACCTCAGCAAGCGCATCCCAGCTGTGGCCCCCAGGTAAATGCAGGTGGATCCATGGAGGTGGGCTGGAATGTGCCCCTTGACTTTTTGCATGCAGTCCTCAAAGGCTTTGGGGGCATCTTGAGGGTTTTCCCCATAGCTGGAGATCCCAGAGCCTGAAGAGCAAGCAGTCAGCACTTCTTAGCCTTCCCAGGAACCAACAAGAGCAGTACAACTTTTAAATATAAAATAAATCAGCTCTGGAAATTAATGGGTTTTTGTAGGGGGCTGAAAATTGTGTATGTGCTAAGTTCCATGTGGTCACACAGATGAGTCAATTCCCAAAATATGGAAGGAAATAATTATACAGGTGAAAAAAGTAATGAGCCAAGACCTGCTTTAAAAAAAAAGTTCTCATCATGGAAATTTCAAATATAAATAAAAGTAGGGAGAAGAGTATAACAAACCCATGCACCCATCTTCCAGTTTCAACAATGATCCATCTTGCTCCATCTGCACTCTCACATTCTCTCATCATGAAGCAAACTGCAGACATGGTATCATTCCATTCTATAAATATTTCAGTATGTATCATTAAAAGATAAGAATTCTTTTAAAGAAACATAACCATAGTCTCATTTTTCTACCTAAAAATCTTAAAAATAATCCCTTAATATAATTAAATATCTAATTAAGTTTCACGTTTCCTTCATATTCATATTTTTTCTCTCCCTCTCTCTCCCTCCACCTCTCTCTTTCTATCTAGTTTGTTTGAACTAGCGCCCAAATAAATTCCATCCATTATAATTGGTTGGCATGTCTCTTAAGTCTCTTTTAATATATAGATTCTGCCCCCCTTTTCTAATTTTTCTTTGTAATTAAACATTTTTTTCCTTGCAATTTCATTTGTCTTATAGTTTCCCACAGTCTAGAATTTGCTGATTGCAGCCCCATGAATCATTTAACATGTTATTTGGTCCCAGTTTTTCTCTATAAATTGGTAGCTGAATGCAGAGGTTTAATCAGATTCAGGTTTGAACTTTTTCAGAAAGAGTAGTTTATAGGGATGTGCATTTCCAATAAGACACACAAGCATCTGGTTGTTTCTCTCTTTGTGCTGTTAACAGGCATCAATGATCATTGCTTAGGTCCATTCATTACTCCATTAGGGTTTATGAAACGCTGATATTTTATTTCCATCATTCTTGCTTCACTTTTTACCTAAAATGCTTTTATAAGAGGAAAACTTCCTCATCGTTAACTATTTGATTACCCTATACAGTTTGTATAGGGAAGGCAGTGGATAAGTGCTTGATTCTTTCCCTTTATTTACCAGCTTAAAAAATATAGATTGCATCTCTAGTGTCTACCTAATTTAACCAATAAGGGATTTTGTTCGTTTGTTTGTTTAAGGGCATATGAATCTAAAGATATATTTGATATGTTTCAATTCATTGCAGTTACTATTCTTATTGGTGGCCTATCTTGTCCAGTGGCGCTCTCTTCAATTTGGCAGCTGAATCCTTTTGACATGATCCCAGAAACCTTTAAGAACTTTTCTGCTTTCTGATATGATGAGATGTATCAATGACCTATAAATTTCCTGCCCCAGATCTGGAATCTGCTGTTTTTCCAAGGAATCCTGGTTTCTTTTATTGAGTAATGGTATTTAGCATTCAAAATTTGGAAGCTAGGTTGCTTACTGAAAGCCTTTCCAGAAGACAGACTTAGAGAAAACTTTATTTCAAGAGAAAACACATCATGAATTCTTAGTGGTATTTCTAATTCAAAACTTCAAGTTCTTCCTTGAATTCACTGATCTTGTATCTTTATCTTCCTTTTACTAGCCTGTTTCCCAGCCCCTCCAACTTAATAACTCATTAGCTTTATTTCACAATCCACACACAACAGTCTCAGTATGACAATGACAATACCAGCACTACCACCAATTATAGGATTATTGAAAACAATTTAAGATTTTTTGAAGTTCTTTTTGTCCTTAGGGTATATCCTATTAGGCATGTACAAGTGTCCATAAATGAAGCTTTCTTGAAATACATACATGCTAATTTGTCTGCATATTGTCTATGGCTGCTTTCATGCTAAAGTGGGAGAGTTAAATGGTTACAACAGAGATCATATAGCCAACAAATGAAAAATATTTATCCTCTAGCTCTTTACAGGAAAAGTTTGCTGTCCATTGACTTAGATGATTTATAGGCATCTCCAACTTAATATATCTAAAACCAAATTCCTTAATCCCTGCCATGGCTCCAACCTACTCTACCCTCAGTGTTGCCCACTCTAAGGAGATGGTACCTTCACCCATGCAGTTACTCAGGTCAGAACTAATGTTCAGGCACCATCAACCAGAATGCTGCATATTGAATCTATCATAAAATCTTTTTGGCTCTACTTTCAAAATACTTCTCAAATCTGAGCACTTCTCACTCCCTTCCCCAGAACTATTCTCAATCAGTGTTTCTCAACCTCAGCACTACTGAAGTTTTGGGCTGGGTTATTCTTTGTTTTGTGGGCTGTCCTGTGAGTTATGTAATGGTTAGCAGCATCCTTGTTCTCTACTACTAGATGCCAGCAGCACAGCCAGCCCCAGTTATGAAAACCAAAAAATGTCCCAGACATTGATAAATGTTCCCTGGGGGGCAACATCACCCCATGTTGAGAAGCACCAGTCTAGGCCAGACCACCAAAACGTCACCTCCCACTTGCACTGCTCTAATAGCCCTGGTTTTCCTGCTTCTAATCTTAGTCTCTTGACTACGTATTCTACATTGACAGAGTGACCCGTTAAAATTATGTTGTATCGTGTTAGTTCCCTGATCAGAATCTCCTAATGGCTTCCCAATATACTTTGAAGAAAATTCATTTAAGTAAATGTCAAACCCCTTACTGCATCTCAGGGTCCTCTATGAGCTGGCCTCGGTGACAGCTTTGGCCTCATTTCTCACTTTTGTTTCTCTTACTCGTTCTGCTCCAGCCACATCGGCCCCTTTGCTCTTCCTAGAAAATGCTGAGCAGCTGTCACCCTTGGCATTTTCTTTTGCCACGCCCTCTGCTCAGCACATTCTTCCCTCAAACAGGTGCACGGCTCACTCTCTCATCTCAATTTGGCCTCTGCTTAGCTATCATCTTCTTTGCTCTCCCATGAAATAGAATGATCACTCTCTATCCACCTAGCTGGCTTAGTTTCTCCTCACAGCACTTCTCCCTGGTATCATATACCCATTTATTTATTCTGTCTCCTTCATTAGACTGTAAGTTCTGTAACAGCAGAGACTTTGTATATTTTGGTTATTTTAGAATTCCCAGTGTCAAGAACAGTTACTGGCAGACAGCAGGCACCCAATAAATATTTATTAAGTACAGGAATCAATCAATCAATCAATCAATGAGATTTTCACATCAGCTCACAATACTATAGTAAGGGGATTGTGTAGTCCAATCTAGAGCAAACAAAATATATTCTGCCAGAGCTAGTCTCTGGATAGGAACTGTTTAGGAGCCTTGCTAGAATGTGGAAATGTGGGGTATTTGAGCATGTCCCTCGGGGGCCTATTTGCATAAGGTTCCTTAAGCCTCCCAGAGGGAAAAGGAGATTGGATTCATAGGTTCATGGGATACTGGGATTCACAACCCCAAGAAAAGAGCTGAAACTGCTATTCCAATCTGGGAAGAGAGGGTTGGACAGCTGGCACAAGACCTACTTGAGGTCGGACAAAAGCAAAAGACATGGGCAAGGGATGCTTTCCAACACTGTAGTGGCCTGGTCCCTAAAGCAACTCTTTAAGGTATTTCAGTGGAGGAGATGGTTAAGTTTAGGCTCTAGTGGAGTTTAAAGAATTTTTAACTGCTGGTTTAAAGGGAAAACATGAATGCCGCCTGTGAGAGAAGGCAGCAGGTACCCTGAGCAGTGCCTCCTGCAAAAGAGATGAGGGGCAGGCAAGGAACAAGTGACCCTGAGGGAATGGCTTTAAAACAAGTAGCCAGAGCAATAGGCACCAGCATGGGGACGAGCAGCTAAAGCAGCACCCAGTGAACTCACGGAAAACAGCACCTGAGGACTGGATACTCACCAGGGACCCCCTGAGAAAGAAATTTCTGAGGCCCTGGGCATTCGGGAAACACTGTAGGGCAAAAAAGCATTCACCAACCCCTCAAACTGGCCAAAGCAGGGGAGACCTGGGGAAATTTGCAACTTAGAAACTAGAAACCCAAATTATGCTTGGTGAAGCTGCCTGTCTTTCAGGGGATGACACTTGCCAAACTTTAACTCTGTAATTTGAGCTGTAATTTGTGGTCTTCTGGTCATTGTGAGTATATATGGATCCCTGAGGCTACCGTGATCAAAGGGAAGATCCATTTATGGATGTGGTGTGGGCTCCATGACCCTGCCCCTCCCCTAAATCACATCCAGGGTGGGCCAAGGGCCCCTACTCCTGAGAGACTGCCTGGGTCTCTCCCCATGAAAGTGCCACCTCTTTCTACAGCCCGAGGCCATCAGGACTGACTTCGCTGAATTGCCCTCCCGGGTATAGAGGCAGATCTTACAACTATGTTAGAATAACCTTTTAGCAAGAATATCCACCAGGAACTCTAAAGTGTGGTGCCCCATAATTAATAATAACTAACACTTATTGAATGCCTACTGTATGCCAGGGATTTGCTACCTGCTTTATATATATATTATGTCATTTAATCTTCAAATAATACCTGTGGGGTGGGTATTACTATTATTATGCTTTTTAGTTTAGAGATAAGTGAGTCAAGACTCAAGAGAGGTTAGATAATTTTCTAGAGTTCCCACAGTAGGGATAGGGTGACGTCTTAATCACTGTCGTACACTATCCTCTCCACTTGGAGTGACTGGTCTCTCTTTCCTAAAGAAAGCATCCTCTTTCATGCTTGGGGGTGAAGAAATGGCTCAGAAGTTAGGAGAACAGAGATGGGATCTCTGGCTGAAGTTTGAGCGATGGTGCTGCCGCTTATGAATTGTGGGTAACAATGCAAGCAGTACTCAGAAAACATGGAAGTCCCCTGTTGTGAGGAGCCCAGAGAGGTGCCATGCAGATGCCTCTTCAAAGGAAGGCTTAGTGTCTCAGCGGTTAGCTCCTTTGGGGTTTGCCTCAGCTGCAGAGAGCTGCCTTGCTCAACATCTTCTTCCCAGGATGGCAACATCCAATGACTGACAGTGATGGGGGGACCACAGCCCAGCCATTTCAGGCCATTCATACCCAATGCAGGACATCTCTAATTGGCTGGAGCTCTGTCAGGCCTGGGCTGCAATCTGACTTCTCTTTCTGTCCAATCCTCCTTCTTCCGCCTTCCTTCCATGGGTGCGGATCGCTAATCACTCCCTTGCATCCCAGACTCTGTCTGGACATCTTAACTGTGACACCTATGTCCCAGGGAAGGCGAGCTCCTGGTGCCCTCCATGGAAGGGCAGATGATCAGAATGTACCCTGGTTATACAGAGAAGACGCTTGGTCTCCCTATGGGAAAGGCTAATTCTGCTTCCCAACTTCTTCCATGCCATCACTTGCAAGAAAGTGTTCTATTTGGGCAGCTCATTGAGGGAAATGAAGGAGGTTGCTTGGGTTGGGAGGACTGGTTCAGAATCTATAACTTGTCCTATAGGCTGAGGGTATCCCTGTAACCCATTCAGGACATACTGGTTGGGAAGATCCAGGCCAAGTCAAAGATCATAATGCTCTAAAGAGGGTGGTGCATACATACACACTCACTAACTGGGCTTGACTATGTGGACTAAAGGCTTAATTGTAAAAGGCAAAATTATGAAACTTTTTTTTTTTTTTTGGCTGCTCCATGCGGCATGTAGGATCTTAGTTCCCTGACCAGGGATTGAACCCGTGCTCCCTGCAGTGGAAGCGTGGAGTCTTAACCACTGGACCACCAGGGAAGTCCAAAACTTTTGATAGAAGAATATCTTTATGACCTCAGGATAGGGAAGGATTTCTTAAATAAAACGTACAAAGTGCAAACCAAAAGGGAGAAGATTGATAATTGTACCTACATAAAAATTAAGAACTTCTCAGAAGATATCATGAAGAAATTAAAAAGACAAACCATAAACTGTGAGAGGATATTAGCAACAATATGATAATAATACTAGCAAAGCATTCATATTCAGGATATAGATAAAGAATTCCTAGGACTCAAAAGGAAAAATTCAAGCAATTTGGTAGAAAAATGAGCAAAAGACATAAACAGGCATTTCACAGAAATAGAAAGAGTCATAAATATATAAAAAGATACTTATTAGTTACCAGGGAAACACAAATATTCATCAACAGGTAAAAATGAACCAGATATTGCTACTCATTGCGGCATAGATGAATCTTAAAAACCCAGTGGTAGTGAACAAAGCAAATTACAGAATAAATGTTTGCTTCTAATTAAATAAATATGTGCTTGATTCCATTTTCAAAACCAGGAAAAACTAAATGCATAAGGACAAAACTAAAGAAGAACAAGTAAACCATCAATCTAACATTCCGAATATGTTGTGGAGGAGGCAGGGAGTGCATGGAGGGTCATTAAAGATGTTGATGCTGTTCTGTGTCAGGGATTGGGAGCTCACCGGCCATATACAGTTCACCACCTTCTATTATACAGCCTGTGAGCTAAGATATTCTTGCATTATTTTTAAATGGTGGGGAAAACCTTTTTTTTAATATATTTTGTGGCATTTGAGAATTATATGAAATTCAAACTTTCAGGGTCCATAAAGAAAGCTTTACTGGAACAGAGCCACAAACGCCTACTGGTTTACAGATTGTCCATCTCTGTCTATCTCTCCCTACCCACCTCCCCATCATATACAGCCAACTGGAATATAATTTTCCTATTGGAATACAGTTTTCCTTGAGTTTCTCATGTTTATGCATTATGAGCAGAGGCACTGACTGCCTTTGTTCTGGACTATTTTTTCAAGGATATTTGCATAATGAACAGGCTCAGAAGATATAGTGTTTCCCTCCAGAGCAAAAGGCAGGTACCCATTATAAATGTTTCAGATTCCCTAATCTCAGGGTTCCTCTTCTGTAACATAACCCACTGTGTGAGCAGGTACCATCTGGCCCTTTTTACATCATCTTGTGCAAATTGGGGCTCAGAACCAGCACAAGAAAATGCTGATACTCGGGCTACAGCTGTTTCTGTGAGTAATAAACTCTCCTTTGTTTCTGACCCAGGAGTCTTGGGTCTTCCACCAGCATCCATGAAAGTGCGGCAGGGTAGAATCTCACACCATTCACAGTTCTTGACACCCCCCCACCATTTTACAGATGAGAAATCTGAAACCCAGAGAAGGGAAGGGACTGGCCTGAGGTCACTGTACTGATGAGTAGCAGCACCATCTCAAGGTCTCATATTTCCCTGACACCCAGCCCAGTGCTCAGTCCTTGCCTCTGGGCAGCATCTCAGGACTCCTGCAGGCCTCTGAAGGACATTAGGACATTCCCTTTCTTCCCTTGGGCCTTACCTTTCACGCTACATTTGAAGGTTTGACTGACTACTCCAGTATTATTCTCCTTCTCTGCTGGCCATTGATACACGTAGACTGTGGTTCTGGAAGACCCGGCATCGAGCACGATTCCATACTGAATAAAAGGCGGGGAGGGAGAGTCAGAGACAGGCATCTGAGGACCCCTTTTCCCAGGGGGCCACCGAGAACTCTGAGTCCTCCCAAGAGCTTAACCCACACTGCTTCATTTAGGTAGGAGCTGACCAAAAAGAAAAAAACTATTTTCTCTAAACCAACTTTGTCTCCATGGACTCTGGATGGAGGGGTTGGGGGGAGATGGGTCCGGTGTTCTAGGCCGCAGTTCTCAGCCTTGGCCTCACATTAGAATCACTTGGGGAGCTTTTGAAACTCCCAATGCCAAGGCTGCAGCTGAGACCCATTAAATCAGAATCTCTGTCAGTGGACCCAGGCACCAACAGTTTTTAAAGCTCCTTTGGTGATTCCAGTATGCAGCCAAGGTTGAAGATGAGTACCCCAAAGATCTTGCATGCAAAGACAGTCTCCTGATTCCTCCTCATCCAGACTCTGCGGGGGGCGGAGGGGGGGGGCGCACGGTCAGAAGCCACCTTGGTCTCAGGAGTACAATGAATAGTCAGTCACCTGCTGCCCTCTATTCTCCAAACTTCCAGGCCTATCAGCCTGGGATAAACAACCAAAAGGAAACCATAGGTAGGAAGTTCTCACAGGGGAGTGACACACTGATATCTGCATTGGCCTTCAGAATGAAAGTATTCCTGCTTAAGGAGGAAAAAACTAAAATACAAACGAATGTTGACATATGATCCCACTTAGGTGACGTGTGTGAACAAATGGACAGGAGGGTATTGCCGGCCATCTCACGCAGCTTGAGGCAGGTACCAGGGAGCTTCAGTTGAAGGTGTGGCCCAGCCCAGGCCCTGGACCAGGCCTGCCTAGGAAGGAGCATTCATTAGCAGCCTAGGGGCATTGGAATGAGTTACGCTGACCTAGGTCACTATCTGGTTGGGCTTGGAATCAGTCCAGGGCATCAGAGGCTTCTGGGTGGCATCTTTTCCCCAATTCCCCCACCATTGAGTTAGCCTAGCCTGTCCCAGAGGGGAAGATGACGTTGGGTTCTGGAGGCAGGTCACATCAGATGGATTCCTACTTTTCTGATATTGCATAAGAGACCTAACCTCTCTGGGTTCCCTCGTCTTCAGGCAACTTCCTTTCAGAAGTAAATAGGAGACCATTTGCCTGATGCTTAGTGGCTGCTCAATAAATACAGGCTATATAGAAAAATCAGTGAAGCAAAATAAATAAAATTGCAAAGCAAGAAAAAGAGGAAAAAAAGTGAATAACACCCCTCAAATCCAACTACTGTTTTAAGACCTTGTTTTATATCTTTTCCAACGGTCTTCTGTGCCTACAACTACATATACACATATGTGTTTAGACATATGTTTTTAAATCAACACAGGATTACAGTACACATAATCTTCTCCAATGCTTTTTTCTTACTTAAAAAGTATATCATGGGGGACTTCCCTGGTGGTCCAGTGGTTAAGGCTCCGCGTTTCCACTGCAGGGGGCACGGGTTCGATGCCTCCTTGGGGAACTAAGATCCCGCATGCCGTGCAGCGCGGCCAATAAATAAGTAAGTAAGTAAATAAATAAATAAATAAAAGTATATCATGAACATCTTTCCCTACCGGTAAAAGTACTGACATGATTTTTAAGCCATTCATCACATTCACTATGAGATGTACAGCAGTTGATTTAACCAATCCCCTGATTCTAAACTTTCTATCATGAATGCTTGCTTCATTTGAAATAGGAGCAAATAAAAAAATGTTACTCCAGCTTCTCCATTCTATTAAGATAGAACATCCTGTGTACATTGGTATTTGAACTTGAATAGCCTCTTCACCTCAGCTCTTCAATCTGATGTGTGTTGCCTGGGATCCTGACATGACACCCCCCATGGCAAACAGAGGAGGCATTGTTCACAATCTGTTCCAGGCAGAGGCTCCCCATGAGATTAAAGCACAGGTTGAAACTGAAGGAAACCAGGCACTCCAGAGGTCTGAGCCTCTGTATCAGTCTGCTTTCTTTCCTTCCCTCTGCTGCTGACCTGCTCACCAGCCCCTCCATGCCTGGCACTGATAAGAGGAGAGGGAGCATAAGAGGGCAGCTACTCCAGAGGGTGCCTGTCTGTCCCCAAATCTTCTTTATCCCAACACTTCATGAAGAATGCTCGAGGCTGCTGGGCCAAGATCTGAAAGAATGAAGAATGTTCATCCTCATTTGTAAGTCCGGGAAAATGGGATTCAGTTTTCCCCAGAATGGGCAGCAGCCAGAGACTTTGCTCTGAGATTTGCAGGAGAAATGGCGGCCCCTTGGGCGCCTGCTGATGTGGTGACGGGCAGCCTTGAGGCCCAGTGCTACTTTGCACTAAGACGATCCACCCCCACCCCACCATCGTTCACTGGCATTTTCAAAAGTGAAAAGATTGGTCTTTAATCAGTTTTCAGAGCTCATTTGCCTAGATCAGTGCAACTCATTGCGGTTCCATGGAGGGAGGGGGAAGGGGAGAATGAATTTCATTCAGTTCAGCGAGGTGGGTGATGTTTGGATGAAAAGCGTTAAGTCACCTTCTGTTTAATGCAGTGTCAGAAAAACAAACAAACAAACATGGTCTGCATGTAGAACTGAAGATACAGTCGGTGGGTGAACCAGAAGGAAACATATGAACCCCATTGTCCAAAACTCAAGAACTTTGTGAGCTTCTAACAAAAGCAAAAGCAAAGGTCATAAGATCATCTTCCTTAGATGTGTTTATTATTATTTTTATTATCATTATCATCATCATCATTATTACTCTTACTATAATAATGAGAATAATGGTAGTAATAAACATTTGGCGAACACTTATAATATGCCAGGCACTGCACAAAGGGCTTTAGTTTTGCATTTATAAGGCAGGTGTTATCATCATCCCCACTTGACAGATAGGGAAACTGAGGCTCACAGGGGTTAAATAATTAGCCAAGGTCACAGACTTGGGATCAAGCCGGGGTCTAACTGACTCTTAAACCTGTACTCATTGCCCCTGTGCTTTCACTGAGTTCCAAGGAAAACAAGTCTTAACAGGGTGACTGATTAATAAGAAGGTGCCTGATATGGTACGGCAGACTTTCTTTGTTCAGACAAAAGACCCTCAGAAGCAAACTCTTGGTTAAGTGGTGTGCAGATCTGGCTGGAGAGGAGAATCACCAATTTGAATAAGGAGCCAGGGCCTTCTGGAAAGGAAAAAACAAATTACACAACTCTTGTACTCCAAGAGGTAAACCAAGGTGGGCCACAGGGCACCAGATATCCAGGCTGATGACTGAGAATGGATGAGGGTTAGAAGGAAATGGTTTTAACACAGCCTGGCCCAGTTGTTGTGCTTTGGAGAGTCATGTGACCCAAGGTGGGGCTCTGACTGGCAGAAAAGCAGTGTCCCTGAAACCTGGGACCCTGCAGGCCCCTCTTCAACAGTGGCACCATGTGGCTGCGAGCAGCAGTGGCAGTGGGGTATTGATCAGATGGGTCTGAGAAGCTCCAGGGCTTCTAAACAACTGTGATGCAGTTAGGAGGGCGAAACCTCAAGAGGAAGATATTGGACTTAGTGATAATAAAGCGGTGGGGTTGAGGTGGGGGGGTGCTGAGTGAAACATAAAGGCGACGTCATCATGTTTACTCTTCAAGCTGATAGAGCAGGTCAGACCAGTGACAGTGAAAAACGGACTGGGGATATTTCCACCGTTGGCTAAGTTTTAATAGTTCCTCTTTTACACTCAGATGAACCAAGGTTAGGTAGGCCAACGTTGGATTTAATAGCCAGATATCATGACTTTTCATGTGGGTCTTGAGGAACATTCCAGGGCCCCTCAGATAGGCCACTGTGGAGCTGGCCCCTCAAAACCAACTGTCAGCAGCACACAAAAAGGCAAAACAAGGCTCAAGGTATGAAAACATAAACAATGAAAAAGCCTTTATATTCACTGGTCTCCACCTCCACACTGCCCTTCCTGCCCCTAGCACACACTGCAAAACAAAAGGAAAGGTCTCTGGACAGCCTGAGAAAAGCTGCATGTGGAATGCCCCCTTCCAAGCTGTCATTCTGCTTCTGCTTCAGCCGGCCCAGGACATCTGTCTTTTCTTGTAACTAACCCACTCAGTGAAGCAGAATGGGCCTTCTGAGCCAATATTCCTGTGTTATACAACTTCCTGTCCCCTACAACTGGGGCCTGACAGTGAGATTCTGAAGAGATTAAAAACCCCCTCTCTGAACCGTCTGCTAATTCGTGAGGGTACGTCTGCTGGCCCTTCCAAACCCTTGCCTAAGGCCAATGTTCTCTGCTCTCTTTTCTTCCTTCTATGCCAAGTCTGCTATTTCCAATCTGTGTAACCGTGGGAAGCTATTTGCCCTTTCTGTTCCTGTTTTCTCATCTTCAAAATGGGAATAATAATTATCTACAGGGAACGGTCACTGAGGGTTCCCTGCCTACAAGCCCTCAGACCTTACCACTGTGATGTCCAACCATGCACTTTCTACCTGCCTGAAGGCTGTCTCCATTGGCTGAACCTACCCGAGCCCACAATATGCCAGAAATACTAGAGAGCTAATGTTCCCCAGGGAGCAGCCCTCAACCAATGACTAATGGAAGCTGGTGTGTAAATATGCCCTTGAGTAGGATGACTGTGAGGCAGATGTTCTATATGCCCATGGCAGAGGACACCCCTGAGGTGAGAGTTCTGCACTGGCTCCCAGAAATTCCTAGCAGGACAGCTCCAGCTGCCCACAGCGGTAACCTGCTGGGTAATAGCCCCTCCATTGGCTGCCTTCCCTTCTGTCTCACTTCCCATCCCCCCACAGTTCTCCCTGGGGTCACCCCCAGATGACCATCTTGCACGGGCATCTTTGACTAGGGGAACCCCTCTGACACAGAACTAAACGTGTGGTCTCCTCCTTCAACATTGCCCTCCATTACTGCTCGGGGACCCACTTTTCTGTACTCAGTTTACTCTTCAAGTCTTCTAATTCCTCCATATCCCTCCAGTTTGAATTTACCTCTCACCTCCCAAAACAACTGCCTTAACCAGCTCATCCCTCACTTTTTTTTTTTTTTTCCCGGTACGTGGGCCTCTCACTGCTGTGGCCTCTCCGGTTGTGGAGCGCAGGCTCCGGACGCGCAGGCTCAGCGGCCATGGCTCACGGGCCCAGCCACCCCGCGGCATGTGGGATCCTCCCGGACTGGGGCACGAACCCGTGTCCCCTGCATCAGCAGGCGGACTCTCAACCACTGCGCCACCAGGGAAACCCCCTCATCCCTCACTTTTAAAGGGCCTGAGGGAAAATTTTATAAATGAAGACTTCGGCTCTGCCCCACCCCCACCTGTCCTCTTCCCATCCCCAGGCAAATCCATAGAGTAAACAGCCTCATGCACCTGTAGTTGACTGTAGAGGGTGGGCTAGCTCAGACCCCACACCCATGCTCTGTCTACTCTCCCTGCAAGCAGCTGCCCCTTCACCACCCCTCAGACCAGTGGTGAGGTCTGCCCTCAGCAGGAGGCCCACAGAGACCCTGGATTCTGGGGTCTCAGGCACCACAACATGTTCTAGAAGGGAAGCACGACTCTGGGTGGGCACATTCCCTTGTCCCACGGAGAGATATACCTGGAACGCAGCTAGAGCTGGTTCGTTTGACTTATGGGATCTAAGGGTGGTACTGGGGTCTAAGAATGGTTACTGGGGTCTAAGAGTGGAACCAGCCTTCCCCCCAATTGGGAGGCACGTCCCTCCTCCAATTCAGCACCTTCCTGTCTCTGCATCCATCCTCCCTCCTTCCCTCCTGTGCAAAGGAGGACGTGTTTTCCCAGCAGAGGCCAATATCTCCTCCTGGGTTTCCTGTTCAGAACTTAGGATCAAGGAACAGCGGGAAGTAAGTTAAGAGAGCCGTGGGAACAAGAGGGTCTGGGTTTCAGTTCAGGTCCTGCCATCCACTGGTCAAACCTATGTTTCCTCACTTGCAAAATGGTGGTGACAGTGCTTGTCCACCTTCCATAGTTGGCAGAAGAGTTCAGTGCGATAATTCAGGGAAAAATGCTCACTCAACCGAATAGCAATTTACAAAGTGTAAGGGGATGGTATTTCCCCTAGTTTCAATCCTGATTTTATATAGTTTATAGGAGAAGGCAGTGTCTGGAACTTGGGAAAACAGATTCTCTAGGCCTTAGCTAATGTCTTTGGACAACCAGATAATTTGTTTTCCTCTCACCATTAGACAGCTGCATAAGGCTTTTTATTTTTCATTTTTATTCATGCTATTCATGGGGGCTGAGATTCTTAAGTAAAATACCTTATAAAAGAACCAAATTCCATTATCTAAAAAAGATTTTAGGGACTTCCCTGGTGGCACAGTGGTTAAGAATCCGCCTGCCAATGCAGGGGACATGGGTTCGATCCCTGGTCCAGGAAGATTCCACATGCCGTGGAGCAACTAAGCCCATGTGCCACAGCTACTGAGACTGTGCTCTAGAGCCTGTGAGCCACAACTACTAAGCCTGAGAGTTGCAACTGCTGAAGCCCACGTGCCTAGAGCCTGTGCTCCACAACAGGGGAAGCCACCGCAATGAGAAGCCCGGCACTGCAATGAAGAGTAGCCCCACTCGCCACAACTAGAGAAAGCCTGCACGCAGCAATGAAGACCCAACGTGGCCAGAAACAATAAATAAATTTTTAAAAATTGTTTTAGGAAATTTCCTGGTGTTCCAGTGATTAGGACTTGGCGCTCTCACTGCCTGGGCCCCAGGTTGGATCCCTGGTGAGAGAATTAAGATCCCACAGGCTGCATGGTGAAGGCAAAAAAATAAATAAATAAAAAGATTTTACTTTAATCCTTTAGAAAAGTGAACTCAGGATGGTAGAGCAAACTCACCCACGCAGCCAAGGCAATATTAGTTTCTTTTTTACCTTTTAAAAACCTCTATTTCAGATATAGCCATTGAACGCTCCCTAACAGCAGGAAGATGTAGAAAGGACTCTAATGTCAAGGATAGATACTAAATGAGATTCAAATAACATGGTTCCTATGGCCCTTGTCCAACTAAGAGAGGTTTTCATATTTTTAAAGAGTCATAAGAAGACAAAAACAAAAGAAGATATGCAACAGAAACTATAAACGGCTCTGAAAGCCTAAAATGTGTACTGTTTGGCCCTTTACAGAGAAAGTTTGCTGACTTCTACCCAAAAAGGTTGAAGGACTCACTGACTCTCTTCACCTTTCATTTGACAGTCTCTCATGGGATCACCTCCTATCACCTTTAATAGCCAAGGCAGAAGGGATACATACAATTCTCAGCCTACCAGAGAACATCCATTTGGGGATGGACTTATCAAGAGCTGAGAGAGGCTTCTGGAACTTAGCATAAGGTCCTGAGTAATTTTGGTGGGGGAAGAGTCAGAGGGATCATGGAATACTTCTAGACTCAACAGAGGTAGCACAACACAGCTCAAGAAGTCCTTTCAGGTCCTTGATTTTGTTTACCCAGGCTAGGCCAGAAGAAGAGCCTGGGTCTCCTGGTCTTCACTCATGAGCAAGTTTGTGTCATCTGGAGGAACTGACAAGCTGGTAAATCTTTGGTAGCCATCTATAATTCTTGGCTACAGAGTCTGGCTTTGGTTCTAACAGTCAGGAGTCAAAGCAGGACCTCACAGTCCTAGGAGAAGGTGTCACCACTATCAATCTTTCACCTCAAACATCACAAACCCAGCATGTCCAGTCTTTCTCCCTGGGTTCTTACCCCACCTTTCCCTGGCTCTAGCTAGAGGTAAGGGGCAATAATTTTCTTCTCTTCTAACTCATGAGTTTAGAACCATTGATGTCAGAGCCCATTTCTTCCCTTCAATGCCAACCCCTTCACACCTACCTTCAGTCCTGGAAGGAGAACCTCTTTCTGGTGAATCTGGATGAGTGTGACAGCTACAAGCACCACAATGCTCAAAAGCAAGACCACCAAGGTGATGATGGCTGAAATTCGGGAGAGGGCCTTGAGGCCTAAAATGGGGAGACCCAGAAGACACATGAGGGGAAATTGGGAACAAGGTCCTGGCCTTCTTTGTAGAATCTCTGGACTGGGTGCTTAACCGCATGCATAAGTCACTTCCTCTGGCTTTAGTGACACCAATACTTTTAGAGCAGCAACTGGGCTCAATACCCATTTATCTTTCCTCCAAAGAGTGGACTAAACCAGTGTTTGCAGGGAGGATATGCATGATTTAGTTCTCTGGTATTTCCCAAAGTGTGTTATGCATATTACTGGTCATCCCTGAGATGATTTACAGTAACATTTGTTTCAATGTAGATTTGAAAACTATGGGTTTTCTATTAAAGCAGGTGATATAACATTTCATTTGAAAATAATCTCAGATAAATAAAAAGAAATTCATATTGTATTTCAGATGTAATCAATGATTATAAAGTTCAGTACATGATGACTTATCGTCAAGCAAATAGTAACGCGTTTGAATTCCTAAGATATGTGGGTTCCCAGTAAGAATTCAACCTCAGTCATTTTTCCTGTGTCTATAGTAAAGGCATAGGGTCTCCCCTACATCTTCACAAACAAAGAGTAACTAGACCCCAATCCACGTGTTCCCTCCCAAAGTGGTCATATAATCTCTGGTATTTGTATTTTAATCATAACTATATCTATCTATGTAAACTATACCTGTACATTTAAAAGCAAAAGAAAAAATGTAGCATATGAATAGTCTTCAACTAAATATATAGCCTCTGAATAAAGGAAATTATATAATTATATGCATTATATAGTAATATATAATGTATCATAATGGGCTATTTCTACTTATTAAATTTAAACTAATATTTCTTAACTAGATGATTATGAGCAAATATTTACTTGGGTCTTAAAAAATCAGTGGGCTAGTGAAAATTTCATAAAGTAGCAAATATACTTATTAAAAAAATAAAATAAAAGAAAGAAACTTTCTGAAATGATTCCATTTATGTTAAGTTCTAAAACAGGCAGGTGACAGAAATCAGAACAGTGATTGCATGGGGGTTTGGGGCAGGCATCCACTGGGAAGGAGCACGTGGGCACTTTCTGGGGTAATGGAAATGCTCTTACATCTTAATAGGATTGTGGGGTATATGGGTGTGTGCGTTTTTCAAAATTTATCAAATTTTCAAAAGTTCTTTGGAAAAAACTGAAAATCAAAGCAAACCAGCTCCTTAGGTACAATTTCCCTTTAAAAAAAAAAAGATTCTTATAAATTGTCCCTGTTCTAAAAACATAATCCTTTCAGAAGGCAAGAATACCTAATTTAGGGACACAAGATCTATCCATTTCACTGTATATAAATTATACCTAATTTTTTAAAAAGATAAAAAGACATTTAATTAAAATATTGACTAAATAATAGTCTTGGTAGAACTATTATAGCATAAACGTAAGTGGTGACACTCAAATGGCTGAAATATGATAAACACTAGCATAACAGGAAGATCACTGAATTCAGAGAATCCAAATATTTCTCTCACTAATTGTGTACTTAAATGTAAATCAATTAAAATGAAATAAAATTTAAAAACTCAGTTCCTCAGTTTCACTAGCCACATTCCAAGTGTTTAGTAACCTGAAGTGGCTACCACATTGGGCGGTGTAGCTACAGAACATTTCTACCATCACAGAAAGTTCAACTGAATAGCAATGGGGTAGATCCTGTCCTATTCCAGAACATATACTTTTAGATCATCATAACCTATGCTTTACTACTCCTTCATTATTTCTAGGAGACATTTTCTTGGAAGAAAAAAAAAAAAGCATGTATATACTACCATATAGAGTTAGATTCAGCCTCAATATCCAATCTCATCACAATGCTCACTACTTGGGGAGGCCAGTCATGCAGTGGGTCTCAATAGCTCAGAACAGCCAACTCTTACCACCTCATCTGATTCCCCTGCAGTATAGATGCTGCCACAGACACTTCCTGATGTCAAAGGTGGTCATGTAACACCTTAATTCTCCTACCTTGTCACTGGGAGTGAACTGGAGGGGGACTTGTCAGTATTTATCAAAATTGCAAATGTGTATACCATCTGCCTCAAAATCCCACTTTTGGGAATTTATTCCACAGAACTAGCCCCGAGTGTGTTAAATGACTTGTACACCAAGTTACTCATTGCAGAATCGTTTGTCATAGCACCTGGAGGGAGGCCAGCCACTGGATTTAACCTTAAGAACCCCTAAAGGGGTCCTGGATCAACTTTCTGTGATTCCAGGTCAAAGGATATGACCCAGACAGAAACCGGTTTATCCACAGAGGCAAATTTTTGCATCAGCTTTTAAACAATGCATATGCCAGTGTCAGTTATAGTTTAAGGGATTTTTTTTTTCTTCCCCTAACAAGACAAGGTAGAGGTTTAATCTGCCATGTTAAACTTGTCCTTTGGAAGGAATGTAACAAGTTAGTCTGTATGTGTGACCTTACAGTATATTGTGTTAAAATTTCAAAGTGTTTTGAATACCCAATTTAGGGGCACCACTAAAGAACATCTGTCCACAGGGCGGGAGTGGGGGTGATATATAAGCAGTCTCCTGACCACAGCCAGGAGGCTGGCCTCCTAAGTCCTCTGTACTTCAGCAGTTTTCAGGTAAAAAGCTATGATTACCTTAAGCAAACCCTTGCCCCAGCAGAAAAGCCTATCACAAAGCAAAATGGACTAGACCAGGTCTCGTTCATTTAGGGAATGCAGCCTAGAGCTGTGCTGTCATTAGGGCTGCACAAACACTGTAATTACCAGGTGCCTCCCGAAAGTGGAGAGGCCAGACCCTTCTGGGTTTCCACATGAGCAACTCCAAAATGTGCTCCAGAGGCAGGCAGGAGGGGCAAGCTTGGAAGTGTGTGTGTGTGTGTGTGTGTGTGTGTGTGTGTGTGAGCATTCTACACATGTGCCTGCAGTATCAGCGGTAACAACGCTGACCCATGGCAGGGGTGGGGGCAGGGGGGATGCTGTAGGCGCCTTGCCAGAAACAACACTTGGATGGAAAGAGAGGCAAGCTCCAAGCGCTTTACAATTCATCACAAAATCAACAATATTCTAAAGCAGACCTTACACACAGCTGGGTAAGGGAAACGACAAGGGCCAAATTAATGGATTATGCAAACCGGAAAAACCATTTAAGCGAAACAAGCATGTTAGTCCTTGTTTTGTGTTGCTTTGACGAAAAGAATTACTTTTATCTGTGGAATGCCGGTGGTGAAAGCCCGGTGAGCACTGTCTCACACCAAAGAGGTTAAACCATCATTTGCTTGGGGACATGGATGAAGAGCTGTGGGCTGAAGCTGGGATTCTCGGGTGATGTGACAAAATCACATTTGCTGCCTGCTGAGCGATACTAACCTGCTTGCTCACAAGGTTGGCGGGTCAGTACCGTGAACATCTCTCCTTCCAGCTGCAGGTGAGAGAACACAGAATGACAGAGCTTTCGTGGCCCCTGACTTACGAAGTTCCAAAAACTTGCACCGTGTTAAAATACAAAGCCACTTCACTTCTACCGAAGGAAAACCTTCCGGGGGACAGATGAACCTAGAACTTCCAAGACAGACCCAAAGCTGGGCTTACATTCTAAGGTCAACTCCCCCCACCCCCCACCCACCCCTCATGCAAGGAAAGGAAGAAGAACGGGTTTGCTGAATTTTAAACTCAAAAAGATTTCTAAGAAGTCAAGCTTCTCCTGCAGATTTTCCCACCGGTACACACCTCCCGGGGCAGAACAAATCCTCCACCTATTATGAACATTCATAGTCTGAGGAAGGGCTGTTCTTCAAAGCGCACCAGCAAGGGAGGCTTGTGTGTGTGTTCGCGGCCCGCGAGCCCGAGGTCGCCCTTTCAAGATCCAGGACGGTTATCTGTGGCTGCTGGCTGGCGACCATTGCAAGAGGATGTCGGGGCCCCCGGCATCCAGCGCCCCAGGATATTGGAGGCCCCACGCTGGGCTGCGTCTCCACACAGCCAAGGCATCCAAACGCCCAGCCCATCTCCGGACCCGAGGAAGCGCTTGGTAAAGACGTGTCCACCTCTCCCGGCACGGCGGGGACAACCTCCCCACCGCCCGAGGATGTGGGGCTCGCGTCCGTCGGTCCCTCCCTCCAGCCCCCTGCGGAATCCTATTCCGTTTCCTTTCCTCCCAGATCTCAGCCTCACGAAGCTTCCCGTTCCTTCCGCGGCGGCTCGGACACGGGGACCTCTGTCCTTACCTGTGCACAGACGACCCGAGGAAGGCGACTGGCGCTGCCGCAGTGCCAGCTGGCGGCCAGAGCGCAGGAGGCTCCTGTGGAGGCGGGGCGAGGCGGGACGGGGGCGGGGCTGCCGCGTCCGGGGCCCGACCCCTGCGCCGGTCCAGGCGAAGCACCTCTTCACCTGACCTCTGCTAGTTCATCACCACACGAAGTGGGGGTGGGGAGGGGCGGGAGGCGCTGCGAGGCCTTGGCTCTCCACCCGCGATCCCGCCCAAGCCTACCTGGGGAAGGTGGGGCGGGGGCGATGTCTTCTGCCTGCCGCCTTCTTCGATGTCGAGGCCAAGAGCCTTTTGATCTGTCTTTTAGTTTCCACCACTGTTACCCCAACCCTAAGTGGAGGGGAAGTGGGGGAAGGGTAGGGCAGAGACTGGGCACTCCGTGGGTATGCACAGGTGGGCCCTGTGCCCCACCTTTCTGTGAAGTCGAGACCAGTAAATACCTGTAATGTTGGGGGTGAGGCAGGTAAGCAGACTTGTCCCTAGGTCACTTGGACCAGGAGAGCAAAGTAATACAGAGACGTTCCCTCTCAAATAGTTTAGCAGAACCACCTTGGCTATGCCCAGGGACATTCTCACTGGTTACTGAGCAGTGCTCTCCCCCACTGCATTTTATATATGTGTCATTAGGCCAAAATTCAGGGCAAGCACTGCCTGGAAGAGGCCAAATAGGAAAGATGACAAAAATGCAGCCATTCAAATGCCCCAGGAGCCTGTTTTTAATGCAGCAGCAGGTAGCCTTCTGGCCCCTCTGAGTGACCCCCAAGGACTCTTGGAATGATCCCAGCTAGAGGCATAAGCAGGCTTTTTTTTTAAACATTTATTTATTTATTTAGCTGCGCTGGGTCTTAGTTGGGGCATGCAGGATCTTCTTTGTGACCTGCGGGATCTTTTTAGTTGCAGCATGCACGATCTTTAGTTGCGGCATGCGGGATCTTAGTTGTGGCATGTGGGATCTAGTTCCCTGATCAGGGATCAAACCTGGGCCCCCTGCATTGGGAGCATGGAGTCTTAACTGCTGGACCACCAGGGAAGTCCCATAAGCAGGTTTCTGTTGGATCATCCCTCTTTGTGGTTCCTGAATATCTGGAAGGAATTGCTGAGGCCCCAACTATGTCCTTGGGAGCCAGGCCCTGTGCACCACTAGTTTTCTGTCCTGTGCAGGTAGGGCCAAACCCTTCATGAGGCAAGAGGGCCTTCAGAGAACAATGCCCCTGTTTTGAGACCTCTGAGATCAGAGAGGTCTGGGTGTGTGTATGTGCGTGCACATACTCACACACACAGGCATGCAAGAGCACCAGTCACTTACCCCGAATCTGATGGACATGGACCCTTGCAGGAAATTTGTAGAGTCTACAGTGGGGCATTCAGTATGTACTTGCTAAATTGTAAGACTTCTCTTCATTGAAAGCTGTGGGTCAGTGAAACACAAGGCATAGGATTGAAAGATGAGGGACTCTCTGCACCCAGGGGACCATAAACCCACAAACAGCTGCTGACGCTGCACCTAGGCCTGGGGTCAGTAACACTGGCTCTAAGGGATGAATGGTTGACCTTAACATCCCTACTGGTTTCCCAGGAGCTGAGAAGAGTTTCCTAGGCCTAAAGGGCCTTGAAATTCAGTTGGTACAGTTCATACTTTGAATGCTCTCCTCATTCTACAGGCCCTGGAATTGTGAGCACCCACCTCCTTTGAGACCCCAAATCTACTTTTATTTTTCCAAACTTCTCTGAAACTCTCTGTTCCAGGCATTGTCTCACACTTCTCTGTGGCTCCCCAACTAGTCCTAGTCATTCAAAGGCACTTCTCCCTCAACCTTCCATGTATAAGAACACACACACACACACACACACACACACACACACATACACACACACTTCCCCATCAACCCTCCACATGCAGGAACAAACACAGATACATACATATGCATACATACGCAAATGTTTATGGGTTTTCCTGATTTTAAAATAATACAGATTTGCCTTACCAGGCATCAAACCATACTATAAAGCTATAGTAATTAAAACAGCTTGGTTTGGGCACAGGAATATACCAAGAGAGCTAAAGAACATAAGAGATAGTTCAGTATCAGACTAGTTAATGGGTATGGGATCTAGTATAGCATCAAGAGGAAATTGAGGGCTTCCCTGGTGGCGCATTGGTTGAGAGTCCGCCTGCCGATGCAGGGGACACGGGTTCGTGCCCCGGTCTGGGAAGATCCCACGTGCTGCAGAGCGGCTAAGCCCGTGAGCCATGGCCGCTGAGCCTGAGCGTCCGGAGCCTGTGCTCCGCAACAGGAGAGGCCACAACAGTGAGAGGCCCGTGTACTGCCAAAAAAAAAAAGAGGAAATTGAAAGAACATATTATCCAATAATTAGTTTTGAAACCTCTACTTTTCATATTTTTGAACAAATCCCAGTCACTTATCAGACATAAAAATAGATTTTATGTAGATTAAAATTTTGAATAGAAAAAAGGATTTAATATACTAAGAAAATAGAGGAGGATATTTTTATGATCCTTGGGAAGGAACAGCCTCTTCTAGCATTAGATTAAAGCAGGGAGATAAAGTAAACAAACTTGCATCCATAAAAATGTAAAACAACTGCCTAGAAAAAGACACCACCCCTAAAAAAAGGTATCAACTGTGGGGAAATATTTAAGAATGTGATAGCAAAGAGTAAAAAATCATGATATATAATGAAGTCCTACAAATCTATGGAAATATATGAATATCTAAAGTAGAAAAGTGGACAAATGACAAGCACTGGACAATTTAAAAAGAATAAATGGCCTATAAACATGGCAAAGATGTTTAATCTCATTACTTACCCAAAAGTTGCCAATTAAAACTTTAATATCTTTAAATAAGATTTTTGGGGGGACTTCCCTGGTAGTCCAGTGGGAAAGACTCTGCACTCCCGATGCAGGGGGCCTGGGTTTGATCCCTGGTCAGGGAACTAGATCCCACCTGCATGCCGCAGCTAAGAAGTCCACACACTGCAACTAAAAATCCCGCATGCTGAAACTAAGACACAGTGCAACCAAAATAAATAAATAAATAAATAAATAAATAAAAATAAATAATTAAAAATAAATAACTAAATAAATTAGGTTTTTTTAACTGATCAGTTTAGCGAAGCTTAAAAATATCTGTGAATGGCTATCATCAAAAAGAACACAAATAACAAATGTTGGCGAGGATGTGGAGAAAGGGGAACCCTCCTACACTGTTGGTGGGAATGAAAATTGGTGCAGCCACTGTGGAAAACAGTATGGAGGTTCCTTAAAAAACTAAAAATGGAACTACCATATGACCCAGAAATTCTACCCCTGGCTATATACCTGAAAAAAATAAAAACACATTGAAAAAGATACATGCACCCCGATGTTCGTAGCAGCACTATTTTTTTTTTTTTTTGTGGTATGCGGGCCTCTCACTGTTGTGGCCTCTGTCGTTGCGGAGCACAGGCTCCGGACGTGCAGGCTCAGCAGCCATGGCTCACGGGCCCAGCCGTTCCACGGCATGTGGGATCTTCCCGGACTGGGGCACGAACCCGTTTCCCCTGCATCGGCAGGCGGACTCTCAACCACTGCGCCACCAGGGAAGCCCATAGCAGCACTATTTATAATAGCCAAGATATGGAAGCAACCTAAGTGTCCACCAACAGATGAATGGATAAAGAAACTGTGATACGTGTGTGTGTGTGTGTGTTTGTGTATATGTCTATATATATATATATATATACAATAATTTTGCCATTTGCAGCAACATGGATGAACTTGGAGGGCATTGTGCTAAGTGAAATAAGTCAGACAGAAAAAGGCATACTGTATGATATCACTTCTTTGTGGAATCTAAAAAATACAACAAACTAGTGAATATAACAACAACCACCACAAAGGATCTATGATGCTCCATGCTGGAGAAGGTGTGGGGGAAACAGGCTCTTTTGAAGCTTATGGGATGTGACATGCCCTGGTTTTCTCCCTACCTCGCTAGGTGCTTTTTGCTGGTTTGTGCTTCTCTGCCAGGAGTTTCTCAAGATGTAGTCTCGGGCCCTTTTTACTCCTCAGTCTGTACTCTCTTCCTACCTAATCTCATCCATGCCCACGGCTTCTGTTCTATTCACAGAAGCCTCTCCAATGCATG